AATAAACGCTCGAATCCACTCAAATTTTTTGAGATGATGGTGACTTTAATTGAAATCACCTGAAGCTGCAGGTAACGAAAAAAACCGTTGATTATAATTGGAAACCGTCCACTTGACTTCGTTCTACGCTGAGTATCTCATTAAAAGCGTTTCGGTATTTAAAATTGTCGAGTTTTTAAAATCAGGAAACTAAAAAATAATTACACTAAGCACGAGGTCTTTAAATATTTTGGAATATATTTTTACTAGAGTTTGAATATAAGTTTCTCCAATTATTTTTAAATTAAGTAGTAGTGTTATTATTATTCCTATTTAAGTAAACTCCAATTATAATTAAATATACAGCCAACAAGTCCTTAATTTTCTTTTTCAACTGGCATTACTATTGTTTTAATTATTTACGCTTCTTGGAACCTAAGTAATTATGAAAATGTATGCTTTGTTTTTCCTTTCTTTTTTGTACTGCCAAGCAACGCGAAAACACGCAAATGCACTCTCACTCACTTAATTCCATTACTTTTGGTTTCTTTTATTTTTACGAACATTTATTACCACGTCGCTGCTTATTGTAGTTGTAATTGTAATTGTTGCCCGCTTTTATTTTATTTTTTTCTCTTGTTTCACACCCACGTGTCGCCGCTTTCTGGCCCTTTACGTAGTTTAACGTATATCCGACTGGCTATATCCCGTTCCGTTGCCTTACGTTGCGTTGCGGTCCCGTTGAAAGCCGCATGAGAACTGTTTTCTCGTCGGACGGAGAAAGCGCCGACTGCGACGTTGACGGAGACAGCGACGCCGACTGCGCTGCCGAATAAGTCGGACAATCGCGGAGTCTGCGCAGGAAATACGCCGTGAAAATGAAAACAAACTTAACCCGTACACTGGGGCGTGTGCCTTAAAGAAGACTCTTTATTGTAGCAGAGCTCACAAAGAGCCAGAAGCCATGGTAGTTTCAGGTTTAAAACGTAAATTTCAGGTTAAGATTAAGATTAAGATTAAGAGTATTATAATGCTTGTAACTCTTTCAGGAATCATATATATTATTGATCAGCATCAACAGCCGAGTAAAACTAGATACCTTCGGTAGAAAATAACTAATTTCAAATTTTTTGAAAATTTTTTAAGTGGTTCCATCGTTAAAATTGTCAAAAAAAATTTGACTAAAAATTTTACTTTTTAAAATCTTTAAATTGAGTATGCAGATTTATAAACCTCATAAAAAACTAAAATAGAAAAGCTTTTCGGATGAAAATTGATGCTTTTTTGGCTGAGTTATGAGTTTTCAAACTTTGATTTGTCGAAAATATTCGCGAATATTTTAGCTTTGTTATGATTGATTTCATTCAAAAACTCCAATCAATTCGAATAATAAGGAATACAATAAAGCAACAAATCAACTAATTAAAGAAAAACGTTCTCCCAAGAACTTAAAGATGATATATTTATCAATAACATAAGGTTTTCTCCATGGATTTGTATAATTAGAAATTTTTATGTATCAGTTCTTCGCTTATGGATTGGTTTTTCCGCAGATTTTTCTACTCTAGAAAATACAAGTCTCAATGCCAAACAAATTTGGCGAAAAGATTTAAATATTATCTCAGGTACTAGCGGAAATCGCACGAGCCGCAACAAAATGTAGAATTCATTGAACTACATTCTGGAACTTAATTGAGTGCATTGTTTATATTTTTAATTTTCGTGCACTGTTTAGCCTGGAATTCGTTAGCTGTTTGCTTTGTTTTCGCTCTTCTATTTTTAAATTTGGCTGTTTACATTGTGGTGAGTAAAACAAGAGCAAGGAAGAGCCAACAACTAGTTTCATTGTGAAAAAAATTTGAATTTAATACAAGAAAACTAAATTCTGCTTTGTGATTCTTCTCAGTTAAGCTACAATTAATTAGCCTTGAACTGCGTAAAAGATCTGCCTACCTTCCTATAAAATTATTCACTATATTTTACAAATTGTATATATACTATAAGCTTTTTTCAATAATTGTTCATACCTCTTTACTGCTGTATAGTTTCTTTTAAGGATATACTTTTATATGCTCTCTAATATCCTTTTTAAATCTAAACATTAATGGAATTATATTCACATGTAAAACATATAAACTAACATGGCTAGCAGGTGGGCTTCTAAAGTACATATCCTTATTTATTATTATGCCCTACTCAATTATTTATCCGAGGAATCCCCACTGTCCCGGCTAGTTATACTCCTCCTTGGAATGATAATGTATACTTTAATTATTAAAATGGTTTGACTAGATGAAGATGGCAAATAAGTATGAGTATATTTTTATGGCTGCTATTAGAGGTCCTTGATAAATTATGGCACTCTTAATAATTAAGAAAAGACAACATTCTGTAGTTATTAAAAGATGTTTGTTTTGATTTTGATAAATCTGCATCAGCAACAGTTTACAAACTAACTGAAACGCTGCAATTTATATGACTTCCTTTGAGGCTGGACTGGCCAAAGGATTCATTTAATAAGACTACTTGAAAGCAAACACAAAAAGAGTTCTTTTGCGGGAAACTTTACAACAGTGTAAAGTGGTCTAGTGGTCTGCCAGGATCATTAATTTTGCTCAACCGGAGATGAATAATGAGTGGGGCTTTGAGGGAGCAACTCATACATGAAATATAAAACTTGTACGTGGTCAAGTCAGAAATCTGCATTTAAAACCACAACAAGCTTTTCCTCCTTGCAGACACACACACACTTGTAGGGATGAAAATGTGGCAGGACACTTTGAGTTGCCTGTGCGTTGTCCCTGTCGCCTTTTCCTGATTGCTGCCTTCTGGCTGGTGCTGCATTTTCCTTTTTTTGTTTCATTTTCAACGCTCCCGAAATAAAAACAGGGGGGAAACTCAAGCAAACTGTTAGAATTTTTCATTTCAGCTTGTCTGGGTGACTTTTCCTTACCACCGTCTCCCTCACTCTATCTCTCTCTCTCTCTGGTCTCGGCAGCTGTCTCTTTCGTCTCTGGGCAATTACAAAAGTTGGCAAATTGTTGCTGTGCTGTTGTTGTTTGTTTATGTCTCATGGTGCATTTTATATATCTTTTTGTTTTTTGCTCCTGTTCCATATTGGCTTCCATTTTTAACTTTAACTTTTCACGGCAAACTTGGAGTTGCACTAGCAGAGTTTTGGGACGCCTCTACATACATTTTGAACTACAAAATTCTCATACTCTTTTCTTTTGAAAGCCTAATAGCATCTAACCAAAGTATAAAATGATTTATTTGTAATTATATTACTATATATAATATATATAATACTTAAAGATTGCATTGTATCGGTATTTTTTCTATACATTAAATTCTTTAAATTATAAGTAGTAAAAAGTAATTACATACCAGTATGAAGGTACTGCATTTCCTCTTAAATTTGTTGAACATGCAAAAAAACTAGCCACGAAATGTACCCTTCCTAGTCCTTTCACACCGGGATCCACACGGATCCGGGCGGCAGTTGGGTAACGTTGTAGCCACGTTGTTGGCCCTGTTCAATGTTTGGGAAATGCACATGCAGTCTTATGCTAAACCTTTCATTTAATGGACTCTGCATACCCTATTTAATATTCCAAAAATAATTTAATGCAATAGAATTTAAAGTCAATTTAAACTTTGTTTCATTTTTAAAAGCAATAAACATTTATATAAACATATTATAATATTAAAAGTAAGACTTCTGCATATTAAAATTCAGACACTTAAAACAATGCCTTTTAATAATATAGGACAGGCTCTTAGCCAGGTAAAGAAAAAGGAGAAAAATGTTAAAAGAAAAGTAAATGCCGGTCCCTTGGTGGCTTTGGACTGACTGCACTCGGTTTGATGAGTAATCCCTGCCAGTCCACAGCCAACATTTATTCCCTGTCGTCTGCCATTTTCCGGAGACGAGGCCAAGTCTGCCGCAACGAAAGTACCGTAAAGTATAATGCGCACTGACATATATATATTTTCCTTTATTTCATTTCTTCTGATTTTCCCCAGTCGCTGTACAACCAATTCTTAAAATAATAAAGAGAAATTATTGGCGCACTGCGCCTTTGGTGTGTGAATGCCCTCGTAAAGTGCCAGAGTGATATACATTTTCATTAAGTTCCATTAATTTCGGAGCAGCTTCAAAATACACGAAACAAATTTTGAAACTAAACTATAGGTTCTTTGCATTTAAATAATAAAAAATTGAATTAGAATTTACCACTCTTTATATATTTTAGAAAGCATACATTTCGAGCAGAACCTGTTATTTAATCAGTTATTTAATGTTATTTTTGTTCAGTGTTCCCTCTATGGTTTATATCACCTTTATGACCACAGAAACTTGTTTAGACAATCTCCTCTCAATTCGTTGAGCACTTCACTTGAACGTGCGGTGATTAACATAATTAGATGAGAGCTCGAAAATTTCAAAACTGGAAACCTGTCAGATAAGCTGACGGGAATCGTGTGAAGGGGATTTTCACAATCCTTAAATATTTGCACAGTGAAAACGATGCCCACAGCCATCAGGAATCCCCACTTCCGTAACCCTTGAAAAGTCCCACAGGTGACAGGAGACAAACTTTGTCTTAACAGCCACCACACATCAGGATTAAACATTAGCATCAACTTTTGGTGTTGGGTTTCCCCTTGGGCACTTAAACACCTACTTAAGTGCTTAGGCAGAATGCTCAAAGGATTTATGTAAAATTTTAATTTCTTCGAATTTATGCACGAAACTTTTAAACCGATAATATAATAGGTATACAGAATTAATTGGTTTCTTTTACTTTAAATGTAAGGGTTTTACTGTAAATGTAAGGGTTAGCCAGTGTTTCAGAAACTAATAATATATCTAATAAAATAAACCATTACCGTTTGGTAATATAATTTATAACAAAATAGGGCAGTTTTACTTGTGAACTTTTGATATTTTTGTGATTGTTAACTCTTTCTCTGTAACAAATCCCAGTAAGCTCTTTAAATCCCAACAGCCTGTGTCACTTCCTCACAATATATTTTCATCATAAGCTTACACGTAGTCAAAAGTATCGGCTCGTAAGCTGTAATATTTTTGGAAATTTATATTATTCCAATAACGTCTCGGTAGTACATACCAATTTTATCTAAAAATCTTGTATCCATTAACATAAAGTTCGTCAAAAAGTTACAGTTGTCTTTGGTATCGGTTATAAAAAATAAATATTCTGGTTTATCTAAATTAAATATTCAAAACTACGAATCTTGAAATTTGTGCTGTTAATTCATGTCTTATGAGCAAAATGGAACCGATTAAGGTACCGAAGAAAGTCAATCGACACTTGCTAAAGGCTTTCGATTTTTTGCAAGCATCAAAAAACGATTTTGTATCGCTTGAGGATATACAAAATCAAGTCCGATGGTCCTTACGCAATACTAAGCCAGTTGAGGACTTGGATGAAGTGGTTCTGGAGGCCCTAAAGATCCAGACCGAGATGGGTATTTTAAATCGCAGCGGATCGATGTATGCACTGGCCGTCGGGTTTCCGGGACTGAACACGAAAAAATTGAATAAACACGTTTTGAAAGCGGTTAATTATCTGCAAGCTTCCGAAAGCGATTTTGTGCCTCTCGAAGCTATCCAGGATCGGGTAAAGAAGTCCTTACGCTACGCTAGACCGGTTACTAACTTGGAGGGATTAGTTAAGGAGTGTTTAAGGAACCAGACCGAGCTTGGTATTGTCTCACGTGACGAATCATCAAATTACGCCATGACTCTTGCGGTTCAGAGAGTACGTTCCCCCAACAATGAACATCAAATTGAAGCAGTTGAGGTAACAAATTGATTCAATGCTTAAGGAATAGTCTTCCATATGTGGTGCTAACTCCATTTCTTTTATAGTCTGATGAGTGCTGTATCGATTCTTTGACACCAGACGAAATAACCAGGGTTCGTAAGATTCTGCGCAGAATTCAAAAGCCTTTGGTCAAGAAGAAGCCAGGTGCAATCTGGCCGAGAGCTATACGGCAAAGAACAAGGGGCTCAAATGATATTGTCAAAGCTGAGAAATCTCTTGAAAATGGGCCCTCAATTGTATGCGATAAATGCTATGTATTGGGACGCACATTAAATGGACACATGGACACATAAAGAGAAGAAATTTAATAAGTAATTATTAATGATTAAAATCGATCTAATGTAAAGCATGATGTGTAGGTCAGGCAGTTCTTAAAGAAACAAATTTCTGAGACATTTAAATTAGATTGGAGGAAATGTTAATTGTATCAAGTAATACCAGACATAATATAGCAAAGGATTTTCATTACAACAATCTCTGTGTATTTCATTAAATTTGCTCATAAGTAAAGTATGTTTAAACCTTATGAAAGACATAATCATAATTACTAGGAATACAACTTTATTATCACATTTTCCACATTGTCAAACACGTTGACAACAATTCCAAACAACCCAACAGAAAAAAATAAAAATCCGGAAAACACAAAAACGGAATAATGACAAAAAAGAAAAAACGGCAACGATAAAGAGAACACTTAACATGGCACAGGGTTTAGTGGTTTTCCTTTTACTTTTCAAATAGAGAATGAGGTCTTATATAAGTTTATAATAAATATAGTATAGCTTTTAATACAGCAATTTCAAGGCTCTGTTTATGTGGTTGTATGAATGTTTCTATGTGTATATATATATTAAAAATATATTACATTAAATTGCAAACTGCAAAGTTTCCTTTCTTGTTCCTATAGTACATTCTCATACGAAACCTTTTCGTTTCTACATTTTTGATATAAGCACATATTGATTTAATTACTTTGGGACAAAGTTACTAAACTATCAAGGAATCTTTTATGAATTCCCAGTACCCTGTGCCCCTTTCAACTTTTATGCGAAATATGCATGACTTGCAAATTAAAAGCAAATATGTGTGGGCATTGTGAGCTATTTGCATGTGCAACTGTTGAATTCTAATATTCACTCCATTCTGCAATTCATACATTTAAGCGAGTTGGAAGTTTATGGCCAGCGTGGAATGCCTTTTTTTATGAGACCATTGCCTGGGGCACATTTCAGCTGACCAACCACCGACCACAAGTAAATGGACGAAGGTTTAGTAGCCGAGAATTGCCCCAACAATTATTAAAATGGCTGACAAGCGTCGCCCATATGCACACATAGAAGGAATATACGTAAAACGCAGGACAACGAGTACAAACGCTGAAATGAGGAGGGTTGAATTTACTTTTGCTACGTGACTATTCGTAATTTTTGTGTGCACGCTGCGTATACGTAATGCGGGGCGAAACTAACCCATGGCATTTTGCAACTGCCTTGGCCCGTCGGAGTTGCGTCCTTTGCTCCGCAGGATTCAGCCTTTCCCCTCGTCCTCAAAATTCCCCTTCATTGTCATTTCTTGTATGCTAATGTCACCCCTGTACGTTCTTGGGCTTTTCCTTTTTTATTTTCTCCTCATTCTCATATTCATTATTATGCTTTTTTATTATTTCTTTGTTTTTGCTCCCCCATGCGCATTCCTTATTCCCATTACGAATTACATCTGGCATCCCACAGAAACACATCCAGAAGAATTAGCCGAGGAAAGTTACTTGTGACAGGGCAGATGAGTTGGAAAATAAGTTTAAAAGATTATGAATTAAGCCATATTAAAGAGAATTGTTATATAAATCTTAGTTAAAATACATTCAAGATTAATATAACTAAACTCTTATTTATTCTTTAGCAAATAAGTAGATATTAAGTTAATCTTTCCCGTTTACCAATTACTATATATTTTGCAGTTGTGTATTTTGCCTTTCATCATCCTTATTTTTTCGATATTTTTCTTGTTTGCGGTTCAGGTGACAAATTGGTATTATTGATCTGTGTGAGATTAAGTATGAAAACCTTTCACAGCAATCACAAATCCAATTGTACCATGACTTTATGCTTTTTGTCAGAGCTCCATTCTTACTCTGGTCCTTGAAGGCGATGAATGGCAGGATTGGAGCTTTTTGAGTGTGACAGGCACCTTTTGATATTGGCTTAGGTTTTCATATTGGATTTAGGTGCGGCTTCTGGGGAAAGGACTTTTCAATCAGTAACAAGATAGCTGTTGACATCTGTAGAATGAGAAGCTTAAATGGAAAATAAATATTGCAAAAATGTGGAGAATATTGATATAGATTTATTTGTTACTTTACTTTCTATAAAAAGAGCTAGTGAATATTCTACTACCATTTGCTCCCCTTTAAGTTGAAACAAAGTAAGGAAGAACGTCTTATACAATCCAATAGAGACTCAAATAAAAGCAATTTTAGAGGATGAGCAAATAAAATCGAGTGCATGATGATCGACGATAAGCAATGAATGCATTTCGCAAACAGACTTGAGGGGCAAATGGCGTGCAAAATTGCAAGTTTACCTTTGGAATGACGCGCCAAAGTAAATCTAATTTGGTAAATCTGTTGCATGCCTCACACATATATATTTATTTTTTGTATGCACTTAAGTGTGTAGATAAATCGCAGTATGTGTGTGTATTTTTTTATGCAGGAAAAGTGCAATTGTTGGCAACTGAATACCTTTGCGTGGCTTTATTGACTGCACTTTAGCCAGAAATTCCGTTGGACAATCGCCAGAATGCTTAGCACGTGATGTCAAAGTCCTTCTCCCTTCGGTCACTTCCTCTTGCCCCGGAAACGCTTATACGCAGCTCCTGTTTGTTTGGCCATCGCAACGGTCCATCTAGCCAGTTGTCAGCTTTTCCTGGCTGCCTCAATTGCAATTTTCCCATCCGACGGATTCGTCTACCATTTCCGTGATGCGCTTTTCGCCCACGTAATTGTGCGTGCCAACGACAAACGGCTAAAACCCGATCTAAGTCGGCCTAAAAGAGTCACTGAATACAGTCCTACGGCTGGCCCATTCCGACACTTCCTCCATCGTTTAATTGCCTGTTGACCAGTGATAAGAACTATGGGGGTGAAATTGACATTCAAATGGGATATCAAATACCCAATGGTTTTAGGGCGAAATGCCAAAAGAAATGGACATTTTATTCCATTCTGTAGAATCACTAAAATATTATATATATATTTTTATTTTTAATATGAGAAAGAGATAAACATTGACTCTTTCTGCAAGTCAACAAATTTTTACATTTGTTTGTGTTCTTCATCAGCTTCAAGATTCATTGCACATCCCACACAGAAACACACTTGATTGGTTTCCACTTCAGCCACCAGATCCAAAAAAAAAAAGAGGAATAATACTCCTTTCCCTGCCACTTTCACCAACTGCCAATCTTCAATCTCTCCGCACGTCCTGGCCATAAAGTGCAGCAATCACCAAGCCAATTTCACAGTGTTTATAATTGAAAGTTGCCAACATAGCATAAAAATAAAGAAAGGCAAATAGAAAGTTGTGTAAACAAAGCAAAGCCAAATCTTATCTAAAAATATCTCTGAACTATTTAATCCTTCAACGCCTCTTTACTACAAATAATAATGAATTATTTCAAAATAAAGTCCCCCTGGCTTTCATCAGTAAAGCATGTTTCCGAATATTTATTTAGGCCACGATTAGCTAATTGGCTAAACTGGTTGGAATCCACTGCAAAATCACATAGAAATTCCCAGCCCTGCGGCTGACATTGGCTTTTATTATTAACCTATTATAATAACTCCCGGCTGTAGCCATAAATAATGCCAGATGAATTCCAGATTCCTATTATTTAATCGACTTAATAAACTCCATCATTAAAGTCAGAACAAATATGCTACGCGTGTGGGAATTCGGTTGATGCGAGTACTTGGAATTTGTGCCTCTTGGGACATGTCGGCTCAGCTCAGCTCAACGTCAATAATAAAAATATACTCACCAAGGATAACACAATTTATGGGCTTTGATTTATGACCTCAGCTTAGAGCCTCCATTAGTAGATATGCGTATACGTGATATTTTAAAAGCCAATTTTGGGTTTAACCATAAAATGGCAAACCTGTCTCACGTATAAGCCATTACAATGGAATGTCAGGACCAAGCTTTATTAAACATAAATTACTCCTTCAATCAATAATTTTGTTACCTTGGCATTACTTAAATTTAAGGAAATTTTGTATATATTTAATTGTTGTTTGGGGCAACTTTCTTTCCCCAAAAACCCGGTATCGAAAGCCTTTTGTTCCTTAACATGTTGAGCAATTTCTCATTACTTGGCGCTCTGTTAAATGCCGCATTGCATCCGCGGCATCTCCATTTGAAAAGTTTTCTACTCGCTTTTTGTGGCAATTTAATTATCAGAACATGAACATCAAGGACTGCTTTTTCGAGGCTGGTGTTGCAGCAAATGCAATTTCCGTGCTAAATATTTGCACGAAGAAGCAAACAACTTTCTTACCGCGTTCCTGGTGCTCTTAACTCAGCTTCTTATTTCTTTTTCCATAAAAAGAAGAAAGAACCATTCACCTTCTATTGGGATGTTGGGTAAGTAAAATTTTTGCACAAGCTAACAACTATTTAAAAGTTCCACAGCATTAAAAAATGTACTTTTAATTGTCTTTAATGGCTTCACAAAACTTATATTTAAAAGGAAATAGTTCCATTATTTTAGGTATGTCAAAAAGATGGTCTTGTAATGCGAATTTCTTTGGGAAATATATGTAGACAGGTGCAACATTTGAAACATTAATGTAATTGAGGCTTATACTTTAACTAAGATTATTTCTTCTATTTACTTTCTGGACAACAGTAAGATTCCTAAATAAATGGCAAATTTGAATCCGCATTGAATTGGCTGACACTCCTATAATTTCGTGCCGCATTTTCATCTATTTTCAAATTGGACACTAAGCAGTCGAAGGTGCTGCCAGGCACATCCTTTAGAAATCCTTTAGCTTCATTTCTCTGGCTGTGAGCCAAACAGCGGAAACGCCATTCAATTACACTGCTGGCGGAAACGGAAGTGGATGCCATCTTCATCTTCAGCACATTGATGCTCACCTTTTGTTCAATCTGTTTGCCAGCCTTCAATATGCAGTATTGTCCCATTATATTTACTACATTCATATATATATATATTTATATATATATATATAGATATATATCCGTGAAGTCCCGGCAGGAGTCGAGGCTGTGGCCATTGTCCTTGCATAACGACCATCGATGTGCAGTTGAAGCGGCTTCTGTGGCTTTCGCTCTTTTGCCAGTACTTACTTAATTCTGAGGCTTTCCTGTGGCTTTCGCATCCGGCCACAATAGAATCAGTCAACAAGGCGGGCAATGGGCCAACTTCTCATTCCACAGAACAGA